CGACGCTGACGGTTCCTGTTCATTGTTGCTTCTCGCGCTTGGTCTTCATTTTGAAGTTGAGGATTCTCTTGCCGGCGACTCGCTTCTTCTTCCTCGTTTTCTTGCGCTCTGCGCAGTCTCTGTCGCATCGCATTTCTTCTTCGGCGTTCAGCGCCCTCCTCACTCGTCTGATTCTGCAGTAGTCTCTGCTGACGCTGATTCTGTACCAACAGACGCCGCGCACGGTCCTCGACACTTTCAGTTTGTCGTCGCCTTTGCTGACGCTCAGCATTCTCAAGAAGACGTCCAGCGCGTTCCTCGCTGCTCTCATTCCGACGACGTCTTTGTTGACGCTCAGCATTAGCTAATAAGCGTTCTGCACGGTCTTCACTACTTTCGTTCTGGCGACGTCTCTCTAGACGCACAGCATTCGCTAATAAGCGTTCTGCGCGTTCTTCACTACTTTCGTTCTGGCGATGTCTTTCTTGACGCACAGCATTTTCTAATAACCGTTCAGAACGACTCTCACTGCTTTCGTTCAGCCGACGTCTTTGTTGAAGCTCAGCAAGCGCTGACAGACGTTCGGCACGATCCTCACTACTTTCGTTCTGGCGACGTCTATGTTGACGCTGCGCGTCAGCCAAACGACGTTCAGCATTTTCGGTAATACTTTCAAGTTCACGTGATTCGCGATGACGCTGCGAATCTTGCGCGCGTCTGATGGAGCGATGCTCAGCGTCTTCATGCTGGCGTTCTACCTGATGGCGCACTGCATCTGCATTCCGCCGGAAAGCACGCTGCGTTTCTCCTCCAGCCGTGCGGTAATTTCTTTGGCGGTCAGCATTCGATGCATGGATGCGTGGGCGCCCACGCCTACGGTTTTCTGGCTGCTGGTTAAACTCCATTTCAGTACTTTTTATCTGAATCGTATAATTCAAGTTAGCAATGCTATAGGGACTCAAATCATATAGTTTATTTTGATCGTAATTTTTCTTTTTGTCACACGCCGCCTTTTGCGCTTCGTCAAGGTGGAGTGTGACGAATTTTTTGCTGCAAAATCGCTACAAAAGCCTAGGCCTTACTGTTGAACTTGATTCGTAATGTTGCAACATTTTTCAACTGAGGAATTTCTCTCGATACTTTTGACAAAAAGTTGGTCACCTTGTCAATATACTTAGAGAAAAGACACGATTGCAATTTTGAGAGCTTAACGTTGCGCATACAAAAGAAAAAGACTAACGGCACCTACACTATTATTCTGCACCTTCAAAGATGAGTTAGAAGCTTTTTACCATGTTTTGTGGCACTATCCTTGTCAGTCAAAGAGTATAGCAGTAAACTGTTTAATACGCGAAAAAGAAAGTAATGAAAAAACTGTTTCCTATCAAAGATAAGTAGTCATTTAACTGCTATCAATCAGGAATGCCTGCCCAGATGCCTAGGATACTTGAACGCTTCAAAATGCGGATGCGGCAAAAGTTGCAACCGCTTTGCTCTACTCCGACATCAACGGAAGCGGTTATTGACATACGTTGGGCTTAGGCACTTTCATCTCAAAAAGAAATGCAATTTTCTCTCAGCTTGGTAACTTGTCATAGTTGGACTATCAAGAACTGATAGTTTCTCATTAACCAATCTACAATTCGGCTTGCGTTTCTAGCGGCTGTTTTGCGCACACTTATCCCTGAATATAGTTTGCGCGAGAATGCTACCAAAAAAGAAGAAACCAAACGAATTCGCTATTCCAGCTTGTGTTGCTATAATCTCAAGGGCTTTTCAATGCTCACATTATCTTAGCTGTTACAGGTGTTACCTGTGTATAATTATTACGGCTGCCGTCACTAACCTCTCGTTGTACCGCTATTACCATGCTAAATTTTGAAATGGCTTGAAAGAAACTGCACGGCTTCATTTGTGATGCTCAACAACGAACGTCAACAAAGCTAATACCGGTA